CTCCAGGAACCCGAGGTGAGGTTGTAGGCCCAGCCCAGCTGTCCCCAGGGCTGAAGAAGTCAATATATGTTACAACACACACCCAAACCTATTCACGGCCCACCAGTTGAGAAGTTCTGAAACCGAGACTACATAGGGAACTTTGATAAAAGCTGACCATGTGCAAGTTCATAATAGAATTATCAGCCAATATGAAAGAAATGGTATCACACAGACCACGTTCTTTGGTTGCAATTTATTAAATTAAAAATCATTTTTATAAAAAACAAAGAAAAACATGTTTTTGGAAATTGAAAAATAGATTGCTAAATGCCTTATGAGTTACAAATGAAAGCAGAACAAAAATTACAGAGTAGTTAGAGCTGATTGAAAATGAAAGCGTAGATCTTTGATCTGTAGTCCGGAATCTGAAATCCAGAAGAGCCTGGAAACAGAGACTTTTGCTCATAACTCATTTGGTGGCAAAACTTGACCTTGGGCTATTCATAGTCTTAGTTATCCCACCTTTAGCGAGATGGGCAAAGGGAAAAAAACAAGAGAAGGCACAAATAAGCAACAACAACAACAACAACAAAAGACATAACTAAATAGAACACCTGGAACAACTTTATGCCAGTACATTCGGCAATTTGGACAAAATGGGTAATTTTCTAGAAAATTAAATATGGCCAAAAATGACTTTCAAAAAATAGGAAAACTGAATAAACTTTAAAAGACATTGAATTATTAAAATCTCCTCTCTCCTCCAGCAGATTTCCAGAATAAGAAATACAAATGGCCAATAAACACAAAAATACGCGAAATTTCCTTCATACTCAAGAAAATCTAAACTGAAACAGAATTGGGCTAACATTTCCTGCCCACCTGATTAGTAAAAATTAAAAGTCTGGCAAAATCAAGTGTGGCAGAGGATGTGCAGAAATCAGCCCTCTCCCATAATGTGGGTAAGATGTTAATTGGCAAATCCATTTGTAGGGCAATTTGGCAACATCTAGAAAATGTATAGATGCTCTGATTCAACAGTTCCATTTTTAGGTATACATCTGGCCTGGAGAAATTTCAACACTTGTGCACAAAGGAACAGCAAGGAGGCCAGAGTAGCTGGAGCAGAGGGAGTAAGGGCAAGAGTAGTGGGACCCACGTCAGAGAGGCAGTTGGGATCCATGTCATGGGGGGCCTGGCAGGTCTTAGGCAGGGCTTTGCTCTTTGCTGGACACCATCTGGGGAGCTATGGGAGGGCTCCAGGAAGTGGAGGGACTGATGTTTTAACAGGATCACTCTGGCAGCTGCATTGAGCAGAGCCTGTTAAGGCAGATGGAAGCCAGGAAACAAGTTAGGACAAAGTCCCACCCACAACGGTTGGCTGGGCAAGGACAGTAGCGGCGGAGGTGAATGATAAATGTTCAGATCCTGGATACAGCCCAGCCATGTGACTGATGCTAAGCAGATGCATGGCACTGGCCTTGCTCCCACACACTGTCCAGTTGGGTGGGTTAGAAATTCTCAAGCGGCAAACACATCAACTCCCTCTAGCTTGTCCGTGTCGGAAACCCTCTCCTCCTCTGGCGAGAGGCACTTCTTTCCTATTCCCTGTGGAAGTGAGGAGGCCACTACTATTTCTGGTTGTTTAATGTTGACCATTTAAAGAACTGCTGATGGGAAGGATTTCTAAAAGGGAAGAGGTCTGACAATTTCTAGTCACATAAAGCATGGAGTATTATGGGATGGAGTAAGAAAGAAAATCCCGAAATATATCATCAACATCCTTAAGATCTAGAGAAAAGTAGTTGCAGAAACAAACAAGCTGAAATTGTAAAAAATAATAATAAGGGGAATTATGACTCTGGCTCCAGAGGCGGAGAAGGACTTCATTGCTTGGCGCCTCCTTGTAGGAGCAGATCTGTTCGCTTACATTGTTCTCTGAGTGGAGTCTCACTTTGCTCTGTCCAGGCACCAAGCTATTGACTCTAAAAGGTTGGTTGGCTCTCCTGAGTTTGGGACTTTATAAAGAAGATAAAGGAATTGTTTGAAAAGAACTCATCGTTCTTTGAAAGGTATGGATAGCCAAGCAGTTACTTTGAATGTGCATACGTCACATTACAAACATCAAAAGGCAACCCAGCAGTGTGATTCTGTCTCTTGACCTTGTGAGGTTAGCAATAGGCGCCACCCTGGGCTGGTCTGAGCATGGCTGTGTGAGCAGAGCACCAGGGGCATTTCAGTCTTCCCTGTCCCACTGGCTGGAGCAGCTCCCTTGTTTAGGACACACCCTGCACAACTGTCCGTGCCCACCCCTCCTCCAATCTGCATCTTGGTAAAACCCAGAGCTCAGAGCAACCAAAGATTTCTTTGTTTTGGCTCCATCTGGTTCCTCTTTTTTATCCTTGTTAATTTTTTTTTTCTTGTCTGCTCACCTCTTTCTGCATCCCTCCCAGGCCACATTGATTCACCCTAATTTAGGCTGGCCTTGCCACTTCCTTTTATTAAGGCTGACACATTAACTGCCAAGAGCGTCTTTCTTTTTGTAGTTTCACAAAGTTCAGACTTTAAAGCAGATAATTTTCACTGCTTTCTATGTGATGATTTAGCTATTTTCCCCTGTTGGATGCTTCACAGATCCATTTAAAGACAAGAACTCAGGAGCTGCAGTTTTCTTCTGCTGCAGCTCTGAGAGATGTCTGCTCCTTCTCCCTTCCCTCTCCTCCTCCTTGCCTTTCTTATTAAAGCCTTGTGAACATTCTAATTTTGAGATGGCAGTGGGTTTAGGCCTGCCTGTCTGGGGTGCATGAAAAGCTCCTAACAATTATAACAGTGGGATCTGAGGCTTGACAATGGATGTTGGGTTGGTAACTTTGGTTGGGGATTCCACAAAATGACACTGTTGACGCGACCCTTACACCGCGGGTGTTCCGAGTTGCTCTTAATGACTCACACAGGTCTCCCATGGCTTCATTTTGATCTACTTTCTCAGTTACTTTTCTCTTTGATCTAGAAAGTTCCATTGTTTGTCACGGTAGCTTGAAGCTGGGAAGCTTGAGCTTCAGTCCTGTCTTTGCCAAAGAATGTGAGACACTGACCATGGCTTGTTCCCCTAACAGTAAAGAGGAAAGATGGGGCTCTATCCTGGCTCTGTCTGTGGAATAAGCATGCTGCGTTAGAGAAAGAAAAGTAAAGGCGAGCCACCACCCTGGGTGTTTTTTCTTCTGATGTCTCTTTTGCCTATTTCATTATGACTCAAGGAAGTGGAGTGAAAGACGGACAAGGTTACGGAAATGATTCGACTCTCTCAGCAAACGGGTTTTTTGCACCGTTTCTGAGCCCTTCCTGATAGTGTTTCTCCAACTCGCCCTTGTTGAAGCACGGCTTGACAAGCCCCCCTAGAGAGTTTCTGGTTCAGTGTGCGCTGAGTGGGGCCCAAGACTGCTTTTCTAACAACAAGTTGCTGATACTGTTCGTCTGGGGACCACGCTTTGAGAACCACTGCTCTGTGGCTCTGGGCTTAAAGCTTGTAACTCCCAAATTTCATGCTCTCACCTTGACCTCTTTCCCACACATCTGACTGGCATTCCAAGTATTGGAGACCTCATTGAATCAGCACCTCACTTCCATCCACTTGGGGTCGGGGAAGGACACTCCAAGTAATCGGTCCAGGTGTGAGCGCCTGACTCTAGTTGGGCCAATGAGCTGCTTTCAGAGTGACCTGAAGCTGAGACTGGGAAATTTCAGCCTCTTGGTCTGGCAGCTCTCTATGGCAGAAACCCTCGGCTCGCGGAAGTAGAAATGAGGCTCATTTGCCGCTACAGGAAGAGAGAGGCAGAGAGTAAGAGAGGAGAGGTGAGAGAAGGAAAGGAGACTCCTGTTTCCCTGGTTCCCATTTCTGTTGGCCGCCCGCTTGTGAGGCCCTGCTGCACCTCTGTCTTTGAAGTCCCTGGAGAGCCTTTGCCCCCTTAAAATATATTCCTCTGTTGGCTTCAACCGTGGTTTTCAAGTTCTAACGCACCGCGGCCTCCCCTGGAGGGCTTGTTATAATATACTGCTGGATGCTACCTCCAGAATTTCGGATTCAGTAGGTCTAGGGAGGGGCCCCAAGAATCTGCATTTCTAACAAGTTCCCTGGTAACAAGACGCTGCTGATCTCGGGACCTAAATTTGAGAACCACTGGCTTAAACAGCAGCCTCCACAATATTTCTGCTTGCGTAATAAAAACTAGAGCATCACCTGAGCCTCATGCCCCTCCAGATGTCAGTGTAGTGGTTTACGTATTTTAACCTTTAACCTTTTAGGCGAGGAGGAACACGTAATTACTATTTTACAGATGGGAAAGTCATAGTGTGAAAAGTTAAGTGACATGCTTGATGTCCCTCTCTCAGAAGGGGCCGAGTCGGGAGTCAAGCCCTGGGCTGCCTTGGAAGCTCGTCTTCTTAACCAGTGCTCTATTTCACTCCCCATTCTGGCCAAACTCCACCTGTTGCCACCCTCTGGACACAGCCCACACCTTAGCTCTCTGTGCCTTTGCTTATGCTGGCCCTGTCCGGAGTCCCTCTTTGCCATAGGCTCTGCCTGGTCCTTGTCAGAGGCCATTTCAAAGGCTCCTTCTCCCGTGACGCCCCTCCAGAGTTCCTAACTCTCCCTACCTCCAGTCCCAACCACTGATAACATCTTCCTCCGGTGAGCATCCATCGCACTTTATATTTGTCTGATTGTGTTTTGTCTTGGGTCTTAGCCGTTCGTTTTCCCAGCTCCATCGCCGAGCCTGTGAGGCCAGGAGTGATGCTTATTCACGTCTGTATTCACCCACCCTCCACTCCCAGCGCTGGGCATTCAGCACGTGCCTGTTAAGGTAAACCAGAAAAAGGAAGAAGTGGCTTGTTCCTTAGTGCAGGCTGCACCCCTGGGAAATGACCTGCAGGGTGTTTATTAGGAGTGCTTAGGGATCACTCTGGTGGGAGGGAAGGGAAAGAGGGAGGAGCCGGGCTGCCGTGCAGCCTCAACAGAGTTGTCAGCTGACTCCCCGGTGAGCTCTGAAGTTGGGAAGGCCCTGCAGAGTTATACAGAGACAAAAGACGAGGCAACAGGATGAGGGCTGTCCTGGGAGGGGGCACAAGTTTGGGCAAAGCGGCTCTTTTCAGCCAGGGTAATTCCCAAAGAAGGCCGACAGCTGAGGCTGTGTTGGCAGCACTCCCGGTGCCAGGGGGAATGAGCCCTTGAGCTCTGAAGGGGAGCCTATGGCGCAGCACAGTGAGGACTCAGCTGGTCCTCTTGGCCCTGGCGCCCTCCTTCTGGTCCCTGCTGCCTGCTTTCTGCATTTTGGACTCAACTCAGACATTGGGGTGGTCCCTGGTGTGGCAGATCACACCAGCCGACTGCCTCAAAACCCATCTCTCCTTCTTCCTTACAAACCATGACTATGTTCAGGCAGCTAGAGGTGGCCAGGCAGCATAGCCCTGGCCAGCTAGACTGAGTGGAAATCTACTGGGGATCCCTGTGAAATTATTCTTTTCTCATATTATTGCTGCCCCTTCCTCCTTCTCTCAGTTTATTTCTTCTTTTTTCTTCCTGCTTAGAATGCAAATATGAAGCTGGCAGTGGTCTAGCCATCTGGAGCTCATGTGGCAACCAAGGGGAAGAAAGCTTTACTCCAGGGATGCGGAAAGAGAGCTGGACGCAGCAGCTGGGTATTTATGTGAGTAAGACAAGACCATAATTAGTCAAGCCACTCCTGTGGCTGGGTTTCTGTTGTTTGCAGGTGAGGGGACTCAGCTGGAATACACTGGAATGGTCACCCCTGTTGTTATGGCTGGTGTCTGTGCTGGCTGCTCAGTGCATTGTTCTGGCACAACTGGTTATCTAGAAACACACGGGCTGGAGCTGTGAGTCATAGGTTACGGGTTTTGGACTTGGGGAGCTGATGAAGAGTCTTAGAAAATAGGGAAGGAGTTCTAAAGGGTGGGTGTGGAGGAGGCTAGGCAGCAAGAAACAAGCGTGGGACGAGGGAAAGATGAAGTCAAATCACTGTCGTTCAATAGTGGTCATTTCCTACCAACCTCCAGTGTCACCACACATTGAGGTCTTTCATGGACCCCACACAGGACTAGGGAGGTGGCATGGGAGAGCTTAGGCCTCAAAGATCGGCAGAACTAAGTCTGAATCTTGGATCCCTCACTGATAAGCTATGTGATCTTGGGCAAGTCACTTAGCTTGTCTGAGTTTTGTCTGGAAAAGAGGTAATAAGACTTACAAATAGAGATGCGCCAAGAAAAACATTTCAAATAAATTGATGAGAAAATGGAGGAAAACAAGCAGACAGCAGTGAGTCAGGCCACAGAGCATGTGCTCCACCGTTCAGTACACTTGCTGGAAGCCCTCCAACAAACCGGCTCCCAGTCGAGCAGCCAATGAAAAGGGCAAAACACATCTATTTTCAGACTCTCAGGACTCACAAAATCAGGCAAGGTAGTTCCCTGGAAGACACACGGCCATTCTTGGCACGGGATTCAAGGAGAGAAATGTCTTCCATGGATCTTCTTTAAGAAAACATAGACATAGTGAAGGCTGTTCTGAAGTATTTTACACAAGACCATCTTGAAAAAGTGGTTAAATAAGTTTGGAAAGCCCCGTCTATCAGGTCTCCTTGGGGAGTCCCACACTGATCAATGTTTTAAAGCCTCCGTGAATCTCACAGCAAACAAACTAGCTTCCAGAGCTTCTGGAGCACAGAAGGGTATCTTCCACGTCCTCTTCCTCTCGTTCCTGTTTTTCTGTAGCTGCTGTTATCTAGAGTGTCATGGAGCACTCGAAGGCAACTACTGGGCAGTGTTTTCCCCAACAGGAAGGGAAAGAAAGGTGTGGTGAGCCGAGGTTATTCCTTGGAACTCCTGCAGAAGTCCTGGGCCCACTTCTGGAGTGCAGCCAGAAGGGAATGGTAGTCTGAAGCCTTGACCTTAGCAGCTCAGGCCAGTTTCTTTGCGTGGGTTGGTTTTGTAGGTTCTATAGAGCTAAGAGGCCCTCTCTCAAAGTCGCCTCCACTCACTCATTGTCTTCCTGGGCTTGTGCCGTGTCTCTTCAATCTTTGGAGCATGAAGATGCGGTGGAAGTCACATGGAGAGAAGTCTGACAGGCATCAAAACAGGCTTGGAGACTCCTGGGAGGTTCAGTGACCAGTCTCGTCCAAGGAACTGAAGACCTAAAGCAATGTTGCCTGAAGGTATGAGACTCCTGGGGTACTCAAGAAAAATCCAGAGGGACAGGCTGCACCCCAAACCTCTCTGAATCTGAATTTTCAGGGGAGGAGACTGGGACTCTGTGTTTTAACAAGTCCCAGGTGATCCATATGACTGGGCAGGCCTGGAGGCTCCATATCCCGCTCCTTCTCTCTTCATTGTTTCTTCATGCCTGATAACCAGAGCCATGTCCTGGGTTCAGACAGCCCAGGGAGATCTGCTGGGGAGAGGGCAGGCAGGGTGGATGTGTCCTCCTGAGTTCCTATGTGTGAAGCATTTGAAATGGGCCTTGGAGGCTCCCTCCAGTTCTTCCATCCCAGCACTTCTGAGTCCACTGCACATCCATATTCAAGGTTTGTCCAAGACCCAACTTGTCCGTGAAACTTTCGGTAGCAACGCCAGCTCCAGCAGTCTTTTCATTCTCAGTGTTTCTCCAACTTTAACTTGCCTACACTACATGCCATCTGGGGTTCTTGCTAAAAATGCAGATTCTGATTCAGTAGGTCTGGGGTGAGGCTTGACATTCGGCCTTTCTGATAAGCTGCCTGGTGATGCAGTTGTTGCTGGTCCACCTATCCCATGTTGAATAGAGAGGCCCTACATAAAACCAGTTAGCACTGTTGTTTATTGCCTTACAATTGTTTCATGCGAAGAAAAGGACTTACATTTCCCCTGTCTATCCCATAACGCTTAGCTCCATCCTGCATCCATAGGCACTCCTTTCTAAATGTTTGCTGAGCACCATGGGAACTATTAGAAAATCACAAAAACCAACCTGATTCTTCAGAGTTTCATGGATTGGAGCTAGGATCATGGGCAATGAGAGAGGAGAAAACGTCTTTGCCTCTCCCTGTGCCCCAGGCCACTTCAGTTTCGATTCCTGTGTTGAAATCCCCTCTCCTCACCTTTCTTTTACCTTTTTGTCCTAGCTTCTATAGAAGGATTGAAACTAACAACCTTTGCTCATAAGTACTTAGAGTAACTTCTTTCTCGCAGGTTTTAAATTATCTGCATGACTCATCTTTCCTTCTGCTTTTTGAAAGTCTGCATCTCCTTGTCCCCTTCTAACCCCCAAGCCCACTCACTCCTGGGATGTGTCACAGGTGCTTTGTCAGTTTCCCTGAGAGACACCCCACCTTGCTTTGTCACATCAACCTCCTCTCTGGGGCAGAGAGACACCTTGCTTGCCCCTTCTTGGCTGTGTCCACACATGGCCTCAATGTCGCTCTCGTGTTGCTGGACTTTCTGCAGAAGACCTACACAACTTCCCGGAGGAAGGGGATGCTTCACAGATCGTGGAGGCTATACACACAACCAGGACCAAGATACAGCTCAGAAACTGGTGGGCTCTTATCCTTTCATTGCTGTTCACCTCACCCGGGGTCACTGGATAATGTCCAAGTTGTCGTAACTAACACATGTAGATCAACAAATAATGGGAGAGAGTGGGTAAGTGGCTGGGCTGCCGAATCGCACCTGAAGGAGTAGATGTCATTCAGAGCATCCTACACAGGGTCCAACCGGCTGTGCTGACCCAGGTTCCTGATTCTGTCCACACAGCACAGTCCAGTGGGTGGGGCCTGATGGTAAAAGTACAGACGCTACCTAAATCTGCATTCAAAATCCAGATGATCTGTCCTTTGGGGCCATGCTGCGGATCAGGAGTATAAAGAAGGCTGAGGCCACCCAGAGCAAGGGGAGAGGATCCTCTGCAGCTCGGCAGGATTTCAAGCCCCACAAAGATGAACTAGAGTTCACAGTGGGTACTAGCAAGCCAGAGTCAGAAATCACTGCTCCAGAGACCAAAAGGGTGCCAGAGTTTCTCTTTCCTCTACAACGAAGATGACCTGATATGAGGTATAAGACTAGAATTCGAAGACATCCTATCTTAGGCGGGGTAGGGTGTTGAAACAAGGTGCATATGCTTTCTCCTTTACGCTGTTATTTTTTAAAGTGTGCTGAAAGCAGAGTTACAATCTGATTGTTAATCTAGCACAGTTTGCTTTGCTGGAAACACTCATTTTGAGGGGAAACCTGCTATCTGCGGTACCTTATCTCATCAAGGTGTGACTTTCGACACATGTTTCTATTGGGTTGTTTTCGTCTTTTTCTTGCAAATTTGAAAGAACTCTCTCTGTTATAGATATCAATACTGTATTGACTATCCTTGTTGCAAGTATTTTTTTCAAACAATTATTTTTATATTGGCTTTTCTAGGGTCTGTTTTATTCTACAAAAATTTGAAAAATTTATGTAATCAAATGTGTTTATCTTTTATAGCTTCTGGATTCTTTTGTCACTATCGCTAGTATAAGGAAAAGCTACTGATTTTTTTGTGTTAGGAGTTTTTTCTCTTGGGTTTTCTAGATATACAAACATGTAAAGTTTTGCTGATTATTTCTCTTTTTGTACTCACTGTGCTTGTTAGACCCTCTAAGATAATATTAAATTATAATGGTGGTGGCAGTCCGCTATATATGGTTCCTGAACCTAACCGGTTTAGTTTTAATATTTTACCATTTGGGGTGGTATTTTTAGAGGATTTTGGTAGCAAATTTGATCACAAATAGTTCCACAATTTCCTCTATTTTGGAAATAATTGCTGCTGTTTTATCAAATAATTGTTCAGTATTTATTAACGCAATCATTTGGGTTTTGTTCTTTAATTTGTTAATCTAATGCATTAAGAGAATAGAGTTCTAATATGGACCACCTTTTTGTGTTTAGATAACATCACTTGACCATAATCTATTACTCTTTTGGTAGACTGCTGGATCTCATTCACAACTGCTTGATTTTACTTACGAATTTGTAAGATTGCTACATAGTTGCATTCTATCTTTAACATAGAGTGGCTTCACAAAATTAAACGGGACATTTTCCATCTTTTTCTATGAGCTACAATAATTTAAATATCATAGAAATGATCTATCCCTTAAAGGTTAGGTAGAACTTAGTGTGAAAACATCCACTTCTGGTATCTTTTTTAAAGTAGATATTAGTTTACCTTTCTAATTTTTCCACAGTAATACACTTGCAACAACATGTATGAATTATTTTTGTAATCTGAAAGCCATCAAAAGAGGAAAAGAAAATCATAAGGCAGAAAGTAAAACTAGTCAATGGTTATTATTAACATTTTAAAATATATGCTTCTGGTCTTTTCTCTATGAAAGCTTTTCAGATACTTACCGATAGTAGTTGGTTGTCCCTCTTGTGGCATTAGTAGCCACTGGTGATCATTGCCTGGATGTATTAATTCATTAGGGGTTACAAAGTGGTGACATCATCATTCTATCGTTTCTTCTTTATTTATTACCTGGACTACTTCTATAAAGAGAAACTTCTCTATTTGATTGCAATAAAAATTTTAAGGACTATACTGGTGAGATATTCTTGCCGCAGCAAAAGTCGATATTTAGTCTTTGCACCCCCACAGGCACTGGGGCAGACTGAAGATGGCTGCAGATTCTTTGATATTTCTCCTGTTGAGAGACAAGGTCTGTGTCCCCTCCCTTGAACATGAGTTCAAGCTCTGACACTTCTTTGACCAATAGACTATGGCAGAAGGGATACCATGCCAGTTTCTGGGCCTAGTCCTTAAGAGACTGGAAGCTTCTCTCTTAGAACATTTGCTCTCAGAGGCATGGGCAGTTACATAAGAAGTCCGGCTAGCCTGCTGGAGACACCACATGGAGGAGCCCTGAGACCACCCGGAGAGAGAAGGAAGCCCAGCCACCCTAGCCTCTCAGCCACCCCTCCTAAGGGCCAGACTGTGGAGGAGGCTGTCTTGGATCCTCTAGAACAGCCTGGCCACCTTCTGGATATGGAGAATTGCTCAGCCCTTACCAAATTCTTGACCCACAAAATTGTGAGATATAATACAAAGTTCGTTCTCTGAATCCACTAAGTTTTGGGGTCATTAGTCATGCAGCCCTGGAACACACCACACAGACACACATGCACACAGACACATGCACACACACTGTCCAACACTTGTTCTTTAGAATTTTTAAGTCCTGAAAGCACTCTTGACCACTTCTTATTCCCTAGAATAGTTCTTCACTAGTTTCTCTGAATCGACCCTGTCTCCACTTCAGTCCAGTGTCCCCTGCTACCAGATCAAACTTCTTAAAATAACTTTTCCTTTGTGTCCGCATCAGTCAGTTTCTTCAGAAAGCTACTGAAGCCAAATGCATTTGTTGGAAGGATGCACAGGAAGTTTATGGAGTGGAAGGATGAGATGGGCAGCCTGGTGCCAGGAAGAACAGGAACTGCGGAAACTCTGGGGACCTCAGCAGCAGGGCTTCACGGACATGCTCTCCAGAGCTGCCTTTCGATAACTCAGCTCTACCTACCTTTGGTCCTAGAATGGGTTCATTCAAAGTTTCAAAATTATTTTATTTGAAAATTTCAAATCTGATCACTCAGCGTGGGTCAGCTCCACTGCCAGGGAGCAGCGTGAGTGGTGTGCACATGGTCATTGAGGGAATTTCTGTGAGCTGATGGACACCCCTTTGGATATTTATCATAGTCCACTCCTTGGCCGCATGCAAACACACACTTGACTATCCAAAGGTGACCCTAGATAACAGGCTAACTGCAAAAGCACTCAGTACCTGCATGGAGGTTGGGGGAAGAGGAAAGTAGCCCGAAGTCATCGCCAACTACTGCACCTAGAAATGTGCTCTTGAGTTTACTGTCATTCAAGTCCATGCTATCCTAGTGATGTCAATTTCTACTGGAGTTTCACTATGAGCCCAAATTGATAATCTATAACCTATAAACCAAATGTTAAATTTAACCATAACCAACATAACTCATACACAATAATGGGAGAAGTAAAGAGGGGTGAGAAACGCAGGCAGAAACAATCTTAATTTTGCAACTGGTGTTTGGGATCCTTCTTCCACTACTACTGCAAATTCCCCTTTCCTTTGGCCACCACCACCATGGGTGGAGTCCTTTGAGGTGGCCCAATCTGTGGCCCTCAGCCATCTGAGACACCCATAGACCTGTCTGGATAGGATTGCAATTATTTCTAATTCCTACTTTTGGGTATAATAGTATAAGGAGATGCATAAAATGTTCCCCTAGATTTCACGTATATGATATATACTTTTCCAGAATATATATCTTTTTTTCTTTTGGCCATTTCTCTGGTTGTGCAAGGAAATGACAACATGGTCAGGTGGCATTCTCAGTTTCCAATTAAGAACTTTTTTGGGTCACTTGGGCATTAAAACCTTAAGACCAGTGGAACCTAGAGATGTGAGCACAAGAAGTAACATTTATGAGTGGATCATTAGGTAAAAACGTGAGGTGTGTCACTTCCCTGTGCTTCTCCCCACCCATCTCCACCTTCTGATTCCTGGACCTGATCCCTGATTCTGGCTCTGATTCAGAGGCTAGATCATCTCAGTCTTCAAGATGTGGTCTCAGCTGGTAACTTAGCTAAATGTTTACATAATATAAAAAATCTATTGACTTTTCAGGTGCAGTAAGAAAACAAAAAGCCTTATACCAATGCGTCTTTAGGTTTCTTATAAGACTTCCCAAAATATCTATAGTTCTTGAAAGAACCACACAGATGTCATTCTCTTTTTTTCCGTTTTAACTCCTTGTGAGTCACAAGAGATGAAATAGCACATAGTTTTTTTGTTGGTTTTTTTTTCGGTGAGGAATCTTGACCCTGAGCTAACATCTGTTGCCAATCTTCCTCTATTTTGTATGTGGGATGCCACCAGAGTGTGGCTTGATGAGCAGTACGTAGGTCCGCACCCGGGATCCGAACCCAAGAACCCTGGGCTGCCGAAGTGGAACATATGAACTTAACCATTATGCCAGTGGGCTGGCCTTGCACATAGATTTTTGACAAGTACCAGTAGGAACATAATTTATGTAAGGATTTAATGCCATTTAAAAATTGGGTTGAGGTAATATGAAGCAGATAAAAAATATGGTTAAAAGCATCTGATTTTGGCTTCAGCTTTGACCTTAATTATTGGTAGAGCAAAAAGCTAGATGCCTGCATCGAAATCGTTTTTGGGTTTTCTGAACTTATGCATGATCAATGGTCATGTGATCATGTAACTCCCCATCATAATAATGCATGTAACATATAAAGAAGGGTAAGTTTATTGGAAATAACAAATATTCAGTTTCAAGTATAACTAAGTTTTTAGATGTAACTTAGAGTGAAAAATCTCCTTACATGCTTTATATGTTGAAATTCTATCAACCAATTGAAAGATAAATGAACATTGAATATTGAAAAAGTAAAATGCTGCAAAAACTGATAAGGTAAGCTGTCAATTTTATGTGCAAAAATTAAGATATTTCAAATGGCTAGAAAAATAGAAAAACATAGAATGGAGTTAAAGCAAGTAATTTGGAGTTAAAGCATGTTATTTGGATGCTATACAAAGCACATTGTGTCACTTTGGGGCTGAGAGGTATTTATAAACTTATAAATAATATTAAAAAATAAAATAGAGAGCCAGCCCTGGTGGTCTAGTGGTTAAGTTCAGCCTGCTTTGCTTTGGTAGCTTGTGTTCACACATACAAGTAGAGGAAGACTGAAACAGATGCTAGCTCGGAGCCAATCTTCCTTAGCAAAAAGGGTGAGATTGGCAAGATGTTAGCTCAGGGTGACTCTTCCTTAGCAAAAAAAAAAAAAGAAGAAGAATAGAGACTCAATTACATAATTTTGATATTTGATATTTGTAGAGTTGTTTGACTTGCTAGAATTACTCATAAAATTAAACAAAATGACCTATAAGACCTATAATTAATTTTTAGTTTATTAATTTAATTTCAGCCAGAAATCTTTTCAGAAAATTTTCTATTTGAGGTTTCTTCTCATCCTGTGAGGATGAATTAAAAGCAGAATGTCAAATTCCCACCTCAAAACTTCCCCAAAAGAATTCAGAAGAATTACAAAACCATCCATAATAAACTTTCCTTGATCCAGACATAAAAAAGAACGTAAGATATAAAGAAGAAAAGGAAATGTTGGGGAAAAGGGGAAACCGAAACTTATTTTATCTCACTAATCAAACTTTGAAGCAATCTACTTCACGAGAGTTTTACAAAGACACAATCTGCATTTTCAAAAGACAATTGAAAACATAGAAGGTAAAATTTAAACGAAAACCTTGTTAAAATGATTGCTAGGTATTGTCGACCATCGGAAGTTGAAGGATTTTGAGATTTGTCCAGGCTGTGAATTCTAGATGCAAAGACCCTCCTAGAAAACATTTGACTGCTGTGCGTTCTGCTGTGCACAGAAGGATTACTGCCAAATGTGCTGGTCTTGTGTCTGATGCCCCGCAGACTCAGACAGTGGAGACAACCAGACATCTTTTTTTTTAAGTTTGAGAGCCCAGTGGAACCACATTGAATTCTATTATGCTTTTACTTTATTTGCTTGTCAAGAGCTTTTTGTTATCAAGAGATAATAACATAGTGAATCCAAAGGAAAAAATATATATGAATGGAAAATCAATAAAGCAAAACGTTCTGTAATTGTCATTGATAATGGAAAACACACGGTGAAACCATGAGTGATTCAGGGATCAGGAGCATGCAATGTTTGTTTGTACCTTTCAGTTGTGTTTTCAGAAAGTGCCTACAACACAGCAGAATGTAACAGAATTGCTGGTCATGGGCAGAAAGGTAAAAGGCCACTTGCATTATTCAGTTTTTAGCTGAGGGTGGACTATGTGACATACGCAAGATAGCGAAACTGCTCTGATACTCATTATCCAAAATGCTCAAACACATGGCTTAGCATCCATGATTTGTTACAAAGGCGGCTTCATCAGAAGAAAGTGTAATAATAAACTTTACAGATGACAGTACTGGCATCGTAGACCTTGCTAACAGCCAATAGTTACTTGTGGAAAGATAGCTGATTTCCTGGAACCCACTGAAGAAGTCATCTTGAAAGCGCGAGTATTTCTCGCTCGATCCTGTAAAGATCCTTCCCCTTTAGAGGTGTGCGTGCAATGAAAGCTGAGATGCCGGTGGAATCTGAGATGATTGTTAAAAATATTTAATGCCACTCACATTGTTCCTTGCACATTATTAGGTTCAAAGTTTAAGAAATAACTTTTTTCAAGTGCTGGTATGGAACCACATGTGCGTGCATAAACGTTGGAAATTGAAAAATGAAAGTGAAGGCAATAATCCTAATCCTGTGTCTTCGCTTGGGTTCCCCAGAAGGCAGAGCCTGAGATCAAGGTTTATGTGCAGGGGTATAGGATCTCAGGCAGCAGAGGTGAGGGACAGGGTAGTGAGCAGGGAAGCAGAAAGGGCCAGGACAAGGATGTGTTGTGGCCGCTACCACGGGTGCTGGTTAGAGCTCTCGAAACCGCCT